CCGGTGCTTCCGCTAGCATGGAGCTGGCTTCCCGGGCAATCTGATTGCCTGCGAAGCTGGATCCATGTTGTCTGCCCGGCTTGATTGTGCTTGGCCGGGAAACCGGCCTCCCAATTCCTGATTGGCCATTACTCGCACAGGAAGCTGGCAAATCTTCCACTGACCGGAAGTTCTGGTATCGGGGAAGGTATCATCGCAGCATTTGGCCGAGTAAGAGTACTCCGTATTGGCACCGATACTGGTATCGGTGCATCCCTAGTGCCCACCCTGTCTGGGAGATGTAGGCACTTGCTATTTATCCAGTGTAAGGGTCTGCTCAGGAGCCAGAAGATTGCAGTAGCATGATGACATCATGGCAAGGTGCGCCAACAAGACCAGTTAGCAGCAGACCATGACTGGCCCGCCTCTGAGCCCTGGTTTAAACTCCTGTTAGTTTTAACTGACTGATTTGAGCCCCCATGAGCTGGACTTTCCTAAATGAGAACACAAGGTTTCGAAGTCTGTCTATAATTAGAAAGGTTTAGCTGCCGTTGCTGGACTGCTTCAGAAATGCTGGTTGGCTGACTCAGTACTTCCAAGTTACAAGTGTACAGCAAATGAAAGTCCGAGAGAAGCCAGAATTTTCTTCTCCTTATTTCTTTTAAGTCAGTGTCTAAAAGTATTGAAGCCAAAGCACATGAAAGCTTAGGCAACCAGCATTTTTAGGACAGGTCACATGTTTGTCATGACCAGTTTCCTATAGCTGCTGACTTTGTGCATGTGCGGGACTGTGAAGGTTAATTTTACGTGTACTTTTCTTACACTGTCCAGGCTCTTTTCCTTTTATTATTGTAGCATGTTAAATGGATCCTGATAAGATTTTGCAACTAGCTAAAACAGGGTAAGCCAAATGTGTCCTGTAAAAAAAAAAAAAAAAAAAAAAAACTTGGGTGGTGACTACAGTCTTCAGGAGCTACCACCCTTGCTATCTGACATCTACGAGTCTGAGTGCATGAATTCACCTGCCAACTCTTATTTCACTACAGGACACAGTAGTGAAATTGTGGTCAGCAGGAGAAGGCACAATACCCAGAGAGCGACATTCTGTTTGACGCACCCAAAAGAGAGTAACGATTGGATGCTGTCTGCCCAACTTTTACAGCATTATTCTGGTCTTGCCTGGTATTTTAGCTAGTAACAGGGTCACTTTAAAAAGATGTTCTATGAAATCTCTAACTGAAATTTTGACTTTATATTCTGGCCTGCTTTTTCTTATAAATGTTTTTTATTTTTCCAATAGGACAGAGAAGCCTTTATCATGCAGGGGACAACTTGGAGACCTTAGTTCTAATCAACCCTTCTAAGTCTTCAGTATGTGACGAGGTATGCTAACGTTTTCGGGAACGTATACATTTTGAATAGGTGTACACCATTTCAGAGTACATAGAATTATTCGCTTCAGTCACCTTACTGAAGGGGCTTAAAATCATATTTTTCTTGCTCTGGCATATGCCGACACGCCCACAGAGGCCAATATGGATGGAAGCCAATTATACAAAACGCACAAACGCTAGCAGAAGCTAGATGTCTATAGCTATTCAATACACCACTGTTAACCACAAAGCTTTTGTGTTTCAGATCCGGAAGCTGATTTGCCATTCCTCCCAGCACAAGCTCTTGATATTTACTGGCCCTTTTCTTGAAGAAACTGGTGAAATGCTTCTACAAGGTGGAGGAGCTTTCTCCTTAGAAGACTTTATTCAGATATTTACAGATAAAGAGGTAGGCTGATCATACTAGTTTTTGTACTAAATGTAATTAACCCTTTTTAGGTGTGAGTAAATGTTATTTTCCTTTTTTAATTTCTTTCAGATTGGAGAAACTCTTAGCTCATCTGATCCCACATCTCATGTCAGCTTGACTGTTTCCTGTCCTGAAAACTGGGATTTATCACAGTTTGACAAATGTAGCCTCCAAGATTTTATTGAATTGCAGTTTAACAAGGACAAAATGTTTCCTGAGACAGAGGGTCTTCAAGAATTAGCAGAGTACCTGTCTGAATCCCTTGAGCCCTCTTCTCCCTTTGAATTGCTGGAGTCTCCCACCACTGTGGGCTTTTTGAAGTTATTTAAACCTTGCTGCTATGTATTCCCTGGGGGTAGGGGAGATTCTGCGTTTTTTGCTGTCAATGGATTTAACATGCTGGTGAATGGAGGTTCTGATACTAGGTCTCCATTCTGGAAATTAATACGCCACTTGGATAGAGTAGACTCTATTCTTCTCACCCATTTGGGGATTGACAATCTACCAGGCATTAATAGTTTACTACAGAGGAAGATTGCAGAAGGAGAAGACGACAGCTCTCAAGGAGAACAAGCAAGTGAAGAGTGGCTAAGAAATCTGATCTCTCCAGAGCTAGGTGTGGTATTTCTAAACTCTCCAGAGAAAACCATTAATGAAGAAGAACCCAGTATAGTAACAGTTAGGGAAGAGGTTGCACTCACACTGCGATGTTTAGAGAAGCTTGGTATTCGACCAGAACCCTTGTACCGCAGCAACACTGCAACTATTGAACCTACTATTCTTTTTCAAAAGATGGGTGTTGGTAGATTAGAAATGTATGTCTTGAACCCTGTGAAGGGTAGTAAAGACCTGGAAATGTTTACAAAACAGTGGCCTGGAATTTTGAAACAAAAGGTGTCCGAGATACCACTGACTTCAATAACCTCAGTCTGTGCTCTACTTGTCTGGCATCCTTCTGCACCCTCTGAGCGAATTGTAAGAGTATTATTCCCTGGTTGCACACCTCAAAAAAGAATTCTTGAAGGTCTGGAGAAGCTAAAACATCTAGATTTTCTGAAAGATCCTGTCGTAACACGAAAGGACTTGGAGATTAAGGGAAGCAGTTTTACAGGTAAGATTGGTGCAACACCTAGTCGGACCGGAAGTAAAGAGAGTCTGGCATCTGGATCAGGAAGACTCAGTGCTGAGCCAAAACTTAGACCAGTAAGAGATAAGTCATTGAAGACTCCTAGAAATGAACTGAAGCCAGATGGGAAAGACAAAAACAAAGTTGCTGTAGAGACTGGAGCAGAAGGGGAAAAAATTAAGGAGCTCAAAGCTAAAACTGAAAGTGCACTTGAAAAGCAGAGACCTGATTCAAGACTAAAAACCCCAAAAGAAAAGCCTATAATGAAAAAAGAGCAGCCAAAAGATGAAAAGAAGCCATCGGTCAAAAAGGATGATGTTCACACAGATAAGAAAAGAGAAACCAAAAAAGAGCTGCGATCTGTTGGTGAAGCCAGAACAGAAACGCTAAGGAGGGATACCAAAGACAACAAGGGTGAGGAGGGTAAGGGCACAAAAGTTGCTGTAAAAGACATAAGGAAAACTACTGCTACACCTGCTGATTCTAGGAGACCAATTTCAAAAGTAGGTTCTTTGAAGAAAGAAACTGGAAGTTTGAAAAAGGATTTGATAGTAGGTAACCAAATGGTGGTCAAGGGTAAGCCCCCAGGTAAAGAGCCAGTTAAGGACGTTGTCAGCCAGTCAGCTGACAGGGCTACTGCCTCTGCCAGTAGCAGTCTTGTTACTGGTGACCCAGTGACAAATCATAAAGCAACAGATAAAGGTATTGAGGCTGCTGCATGTGCCCCTATTAGCAATGATGGACCTATTAATGGGCATGGTGTTCATGCAGAGAATGGACTGTGTAGAGCTGAGCCAGAAAGTCCTAATGGATTCCGGTACTTGGAGACAAGTCCCCCCAAAGGATTAGGTCCCGTGTCTCCATTGGCTAAAACGCCCAGAAGTGATATTAGTGTAAATTTTGACTTGACTCCCACAAACCTAGAGATCCAAGAGAAAGGAAGAAGTGCACACCATGGCCAGGACTGGTTGGATGACCCCTGTGGAAGCTCTGAAGAAAGGACTTTGGAGATGGCATCCCCAGACAGTTCAGAGCATCACTCACCAGTTGCATCACAGCAAATTTGTGGTCAGTCGATACCATCAGCAGATGGAAGAAATGTTAACTCTTCCTCCTGGAGGGCCCCTCCCAGATCTTCCCAAGAAAACTCAAACTCTTCACAGGGAAGGCAGACCAGTTGCCTCTCCTTGAGTCCTTTCCGGGAAGATATGCCTGATGTTTCTCCAACTATAACTACTCCTTCGTTGCCTGCGGAAGTGGGCTCACCGCATTCTACAGAGGTGGATGAATCTCTCTCCATCTCTTCCTTTGAACAGACTCTTCCTCCTGTCAGTGAGTCTCCTAGGGATGTATCACCAGACACCCATATGCCAAACAGAGTAGGTCTGAGTCTGCCTGTTCATCCTTCACATTCTAGTGAACCTGAAGGTCAGTCTGAAAGGTCAGCTTCTCCTCATGATGTGGACTTATGTTTGGTATCCCCATGCGAGTTTGAACATCATAAGTCTGATGCTGTAATAAGTCCTCATGATAGTGACAGTGATCCTTCCCAGGAGTTGCCCAAGCCCCCAGGCTCTTCTGGAAAATTTTTTTCAAATGGACCAGAGACTCCACCTACTTCAGTAAGTGAATCTTTGCCTACGATATCTGATTCTGGACCAGAAGAGTGCCCTTCCATAGCTGCTGATGGTGCTTCAGATTCAGAGGGTGACAACACTCCAAGACTTTTAGATCCTGTTCCACCTAACATGAAGGACCCTCATCCCCTGCCTCCTCAACCAGGTACTTGCATGGTTGACCCTGAAGCCATGCCCACAGTTCATGCAGACAAAACTCAAAACCATTCATCACCTTCCAATGTTCGAAGCAAAACTAGCAAGTTGTCTGCCAAAACTAAAGTTATTGCAGATAAAACGGGCAAGGTTGCCACAGGAAAAACTGAAATGGCACGAGCTGTAACAGACCCCAAACCATCTGCCAGACGCAGTTTAGGAAATTCAATAAAAGCCACTCCTGCAGGAAGTCGTTTAGCAGGTAAGTCATTTTGTGTGATTTTTGTCTGTGCTTGTAAACTTGCAGCTGATCTGGCTTACCACTCATTATTATTATAGGAGAGCTTCGGGAAAATCAAAAACTGAACCCTTGCAGTGCGGGAGTAGCCTCACTGCATGGAGACAGGCTAGTTTTGTCTAGGGGATTAAAAATAAAGCTGTTTTGTTTGCCTGATCCTAGACGCTAGACCGGTTGCCATAGCCTCTTCTCCTCTGGTCTTCAGTGTTCTAAGGACTGCTGATTGTCCTCACGTCTAATGCAGGTCCAATGCTCTGCATTAAATATGAAGACGCCAAGGGACATTCCACAGTTGGAGTGGAGGGCGAGAGTTGGGTGCCAACCGCCCCTTGAAACGGGGATCAGGTGAGAAACTGCTTTTGAGTCCCCTAGACAAAACAAACACTTAACCATTGCAATGTGGGGGTAGCACTGCTGCAAGGATAAGCTGAATTTCCCAGAGTTCCTCTTTAAGCACCTGAATGAAGAGTATAGTTTATTATTCATATTTTTTTTTGAGCGTCTATTTGATTTCTTGCACTGTTTTATTTTTAGCAACCATTTACACCTCAGTGCATAATGATAAAAACCAGAGACCGGTTCTGGCCAGTCCCCACTATATTCAAACCTTAAAAAGAAAAAAAAATTGGCAGGAGGCCTGCTTTTATACACATTGATAAGGTTGTTCAATTCAATCTGATCTTTTGCATCTAAATCTTTTGAAAAATAAAAAAGGTTATAGTTTTACTTTTTAAATCTATATTTACAGTTGAAATAACCAATTTGCATATTGTTTAGTTGTATAATTCGTTGGTACATTTTTAAAGCTTAACGCTGGCCAGAAGCTTAAAAATGTGTAATATATTCACTTTCATCATATGTGCATGCAGCCTGATTGGCCCTAATTACTGCCCTTCCCTAGTCTGAGTGCTGCTGTCCAGGGTTTACAGGGCACTGATATCAAGACAGACTCTTGACTAGTTAAAATAAAATACATCGATTTTGAGTTCAGCTTTAACATGTACAGTGTTAAAACACAATTTTAACTGATTCAATTAAATTGTACATTTAGCTAAATGTACAGTGTTGGAAGAAATGCATATTAAAGATGCATTGCATTATTTATTTACTACTCTTGGACTTTTCTTTCTTTCCAATGTATCCGCCTGAAATTAAATAGATTTCATTGATGTACTGTATACAAAATACAGTAAACTCCCAGTTATCCAGCACCCACGGGGGTCAGTAGGTGCCAGATAACTGTAGTTTCCGGTTGCTTGAGCGTTACTAGTAACTCTTAAGCAACACAACCTCCACCTCCCAGCAGCGCCATTCACCTACTGGATAGCTTCCGCAACCAACAGGTTAATGTTAGCGGCCGGGAGCAATAGCCAGACTATTGGCTATTGCAATAGCAGGCTGGCTATTGAAATCCCGCCCACTGACCAGAAGAGCGGACCTAAGAGGAAGTTCTCTCTCAGGCCCTCTCCTCTGCTTGGGTGCAATAGAAGGCTGGCTATTTAAACTCTGCCCACTGAGCAGAGGAGTGGACCTGAGAAAGTTCTCTTTGTTCTGTGGGACAAGAGCAAAGGGATTCTATCGGGGTTAGATACCTAACGTATGCATTACGAGTACTCTGATATTAATAAAAATACACACAAATCCTGCTCACTCCTTACGGGACTCCCCTTCACACTAGAAGTGGATCCTGAAGTGACCGCGGATGGTGCAGCATAAATCGCATGTGAACCAGGAACATCACCAGCACACCGTGCACGTAATGTGTCCAAAAGTGCATGTTTATTGACTCGTATTGTCGCATACAAAGCACGATGTTTCTGGGCCACACAGGGTCCTCTTCATCAGGCTCAATATGCCAAAACGTCCTCATAATACACCTATGATAATAGTAATAATACACAATAAAGATGTACTTTTGGACACATTATTACCTTGTGCTGGGGATATTAATAAAAAGGTGCACTTGTAAATTGGATCAAAGGGGGGAATTCCCCATTTATCCTGCAAGGACATATCCAGAAGGGCCTGCCTTTCTTTGAAGGCGCCTTTTGTCAAAAAATGTTTAGCTGTGATATTGTGGGTCCCCCCCCCCCC